AGAACCTTCATTGACAGGGAAACACATGTACTCAAGGGCAAGTTTTAGCTGTTGAAATCCATGTACAAATTCCTTCACTAGAACAGAATCAATAAAGTTAAAAAACCTTAAGATATTATATCTACTTAATTTTCAACTCCTTCTTGAAGTACACTAATCAGCTCTAAGTTTTTCAATGTAGGAGAATGCTTTGGCCCCGAGTCAGACATATAATAACATGTTATGTTCTATAATTAAAATAAAAAACACATCCATTAAAATATCATAAAATTAATTAGGCAAAGGAAAATAGATAGCATTCATTTCAATGTTTATATTACATCAACATTGCCTGTAACAAAGAGCATGTTTAACCACACAATCATTGTTTTCATTATTTCATTATTGGTCATTTATGCAGGTCATTGCATAATTTCAAATTTGAAATATGTAATTGTAATCAGAAAAGTGGTGGTTTTTTTCACTTGTATCTGCTTCCTATGGGCCATATACTACTTTTAGAGCTAAATCCTCAGCTGGTGTAAATTGACACAGCTGACTGGAGCTATACTGATTTATGCCAGCTGTGACTCTGAACCCCCAATTGGCACGCTGAAGTACTGTTGAAGCCAGTGGGAGTTTGTCTGTGCAGATTGTAGTACAGACCCTAAGTGCCTTCTGAGTCATAGCCACTTAGTTTACTGACAAAAGCAAATGTTTATTACTGTCAGCACTGCTGAGCCAGTAACTGCAACTACTGGGCTGCAGAAAAGTAAGCTATGCTTTATCCTGCCTCATGCATCATCAACAAAATAATCTGTTAAACTCTGATTCCAGGATCTACATCATTGCTGATGACTGATAAGGAATGATCATCAAGGCTGAAAGAAGAGAGTCTGATTTTCAAATACCAGACAAAGCATGCAAGGTGGCAAATCACAAGCTCGCTCTTCCTCTCAGATATGGCACTTCAATTCACATCACTGCATATGCTGAAAAATTAGCTGAAACACTGAGGCATGTAGACATATTTTAATACAACTGATGCATATCCCGGTATCTTGTAGGAGGATCTGTAGAATTTTTCAATACTTGAAAAGGAAATTGACTAATATTAAAATAAGCTCATGATACTGATCTATGCTGGTAGTTAGAATCTATTTATCTAAGTACTTATGTGGCCCCCTTAATCATAGCATCTGAATGCAAGAATAGTGTTGTAGGTTGTAAACAAGTGTTTTCTCGTTTGACCCACTCCTTTGACATTGGTATGACTTTTAGTACTGGTGGAGTATGCTACATTTTACATTGGTTTTGTTTAAAGAAATAGATCTAGAAGTGTTTAAGCAAGGGCATATTTTCACTTGGCCTGGTTCTTTGCTGTGTGTAGTCATTTACACCAGTGCAAAGTAGGTGTGAAAACCTATACCAGAAATCTATATCCCCTCTCTTACATCTACTTTGCATAGGTGTAAAAGACTCCACAAAAATGTAAAGAAATGGAGAATCAGGCACACTCTCTTAATGGGACATTTGTGAACAAGCATGACAAATGTATAATATGCCTCTAGGTTTTAATAAAATTGAAAAAAAGCAAAAATTGCACAAACATACTCTGGAGTTGTGGCAATTGTTCTTTATTAATACATAACAAAACAATATTTTTCTTTGTCTACAGAAGTTTAACTGTTGACTGAAATTATAATATTTGGGGATTGATCCTTAGCATAACTCCATAGAATCAAGGGCTACATAAATTTACAGCTGGTGAGGAACTTGCCTTTCATGTTTTTAAAACAAACAATAACCCCCCCCACCTCCTAAATTTACTTCTTTCTGTGGGTTTCTCAGTGCTTTCTGTCTCTAAGGTGTTTATTTTTGTTTCAAGTCTGGTTGTGGAACCCTTACTCACATTAGTGAACACTTAACTCATCAAACAGTCCAGTGTTTCCCAAACTTGGGACGCCGCTTGTGTAGGGAAAGCCCCTGGCAGGCTGGGCCGGTTTGTGTACCTGCCGCGTCCGCAGGTTCGGCTGATCGCGGCTCCCACTGGCTGCGGTTCGCTGCTCCAGGCCAATGGGAGCTGCGGGAAGCGGCAGCCAGCACGTCCCTCGGCCCGCGCCGCTTCCAGCAGCGAACCGTGGCCAGCGGGAGCCGCAATCGGCCGGATCTGCGGATGCGGCAGGTAAACAAACCAGCCCAGCCCGACAGGGGCTTTCCCTACACAAGCGGCGTCCCAAGTTTGGGAAACACTGAAACAATCCTATAAATTTCAATGGACTACTTGCGAAAGTGTTTACTAACATAAGGGTTCCTCAGTCGGGTCTCTAGATTAAATGCTTTCAGTGCAGAACCTGTCTTCATTTTATCATTTACATCACTGAACACAGTGTTTAAAACATAAGAAATAATACTAAAATAAAATGATATATTGTCACCTTAAGCTGCAGTTTAGGATGCTAGTCCTTACTCAGCTACCTATTTAGAATAAATGTTTACTTGAGTAGACTAGACTTAATATACTATCATTCATATTATATTTTCAAAACAACATACTCACTTTTATTAATTACTCCACACAACATCTTTGTAAAACAGGTAAATATTCTTACCCCCATTTTACAGATGGAAAAACTGAGTCAAAGAGAGATTAAGTGACATGGTTTTAGTTGCACTGCAAAGCAGTAGTAGAGTGGGTATTAGAACCCAGGCTCCCAATCCTGCATTCTAGTATTTCTCAACTGGTGAGCTGGCACCCTGGGAAGAGTCATGAAAGGCATCAGGGGGTTGTGAGGTGTTGAAAATGATATTAGAGTTCTAAAGAAAAAAAAATTCCAGAAGAACTGTGGGGTGGCCAAAACCTCAAAGTTTGTGAGGGAGTTGAAACAGCTACAGTTGTAGTAACTCCATCCCATTTGTATTCATGCAGGTGACTGTCTTCCACTACCTTGTTCCCCTCACTCTTTCTTTTCAAAGACAAGTATTCTGTCATCTCAATACACACACATACACATAAATTATATAAACTTATCACTGCTATTCCTTTTACTCTTACAGCAAATACAAAGGGGTCACAACATTTTGTTATTTCAAATAAGGGGTGACAACCTAAAAAGATTGAGAAACAGTAAGCTACACTGTGCTGTCTCTCTTGCTGTACTGTGAAATGAGTGTCAACTTCAGAATCACATGCCCTGGCCCTAGCTCTGCTCTGGCCATGCAAAGCAGCCCTAATGCTGGTTTATCTAGCTGGTGGAATAGTTTTACGTTGTTTTGAGTGTAGTTATGTAACAAAAAAAATCTACATTTGTAAGTTACACTGTCATGATAGAGATTGCACTACAGTACTTGTATGAGGTGAATTGAAAAATACTATTTCTTTTATCATTTTTACAGTGCAAATATTTGTAATAAAAACTAATATAAAGTGTACACTTTGTATTCTGTGTTGTAATTGAAAGCAATATATTTGAAACTGTAGAAAAACATCCAAAAATATTTAATAAATTTCAATTGGTATTCTATTGTTTAACAGTGCAATTAATCACAATTCATTTTTTAAATCGCAGTTAATTTTTTTGAGTTAATAGCATGAGTTAATTGCAATTAATCGACAGCCTGAACTGTAACGTTAAAACTAAGGCCTTTGTGTATGCAGGGTCTCTATATGCCTATTACATTGTAAGTGCTATATGGTCTGTATATCCTGTGTATTATGTAGCCTTTATTTTGGTGCACCACTTTATTATATGATTTTTAAATGTAATTCTATTGTGTTTTACTAGGCTCTATGTATTTCTTTCTTGCTTTATTAGATATATTGTAACTACTTATTTCTTTTAAATAAATATTATTTTGTTTTTGAAGAATTTCTGCTTGTGTGTGTCAATCCTTGTCCTTTCAGTGTTAGCAAGACCCCTGGTAACACCCTGGCAATTCCTTTAGGTCAAGTCACAAACTTATTACCCATTTGGACAGAATAAATTGCATAATCATAAGCAAACCACTCCTGGAGTGCCTGAGGTCCAAATTTTGGGGCAACAAGGGGTTCATTAACTCATCTAGATATTTGCCTAGTTTTACAATAGGCTACATAAAAAGCACTAGCGAAGTTAGTACAAACTAACATTTCATACAGACAATGACTTGTTTATACTGCTCTATATACTATACATTGAAATGTAAGTATAATATTTATATTCCAATTGATTTATTTTATAATTATATGATAAAGATGAGAAAGTAAGCATTTTTTCAGTAATGCTGTGCTGTAACACTTTTGTATTTTTATGTCTGATTTTGTAAGCAAGTAGTTCTTAAGTGAGGTGAAACTTGGGGTACACAAGACAAATCAGACTCCTGAAAGGGGTACAGTAGTCTAGAAAGGTTGAGATCCACAGGGCTAGGGGAGCTCCTGGCTGTAACAAGTCACTAATAACTGTCAGGCACAGCCAGGGGGCAGGAATTGGGCAGTGCAGGGCCTGGTGCTGTTGGGCGGTCGCTGGTGCAAGTGCAACTCATGGGCTAAATTGTCAGATTGGCTTTATTTTAATTGCTATGATTTAATGACGTGCAGCAGGGGAGAAGAACACTATTTCCCCAAAAAGCAACAGAGGGTCCTGTGGCATCTTTAAGACTAACAGAAGTATTGGGAGCATAAGCTTTCGTGGGTAAGAAAGCTTATGCTCCCAATACTTCTGTTAGTCTTAAAGGTGCCACAGGACCCTCTGTTGCTTTTTACAGATTCAGACTAATTTGGCTACCCCTCTGATACTATTTCCCCAGTGACAGAGGCGGTGCAGTCTCCCCCTCCCCCCGCCACAGAACGCCTTGGCTAGTGCTGCGGGGACTAGTAAGCCTGTTCGGGGGGGGGGGGGGGAGGAAGCGGAGGATCCTGGGAGCAGCGCGCGCGTTATTTCCGCAGCCCAGCGGCGCGCGCTTAGCCTTAACGTTTAGAGGAAAAGGGGAAGAGCCGCCGCCTTCACTGTTGCGGGCGGGCGCGTCAGCAGGAGCCTTGGTGCGGCTGCGCAGCGATTGCGCGGCGGATTCGAACTGTCCTGAGGCTGGCGGGGCCAGGAAAGGGCGGTTGGACCCGCGCGTGAATTACGGGGGCCCCCGCGGTGGCGTGGAGGATGAAGCGAGCGGCGCCCCGCAGTACCCTGCGGAACCTGATAAAGAGACACAAGCCCCAGCTTCGTCTGGCGGCCAACGCCGACCTGCTGGTGAGGGGAGCGGGGCTGGGGCAAGGCGGGAGGGGGCCGAGGGATCTGCCCAGACGCGCAGGGGCTAATTCCTGCCGCTAGCAAACGAGCGCCCCTCCCCCAGCGACAACGGCTCTGCAGCTTCTAACTGTCAGGCCGCGACGGGGGTAAGGAACCAACTGCCCGGGGGGCGGGGCTGGGTCACCCTAGTGCGAGGGGATGTGGGGCTGCGCCGCCCCTGGGGTGTGTGGCCCCCCCCCGGATATGTGACTGGTCCCTAGTTGCTCTGGGACGTTGGTTGACTGGAGAGTTGAGCTGCCCCTGCCTCGCTTGTGGGCGTGTGTCTAGGTCGCGTCTGGGCACTGGGGTGTGAGCTCAGCGGAGGTGCATTACAAGGTACTACACTGTCATCAGGGACACCAGACTGACCATCGCATTGTTCATATTTAGGCTTGAAAGGATTAGATTTTATTGGTAAATGGTTGATTTCACTGTAGCACACGGAACCCAATGAAAAATATTTGTCAATAATAATCAATATTTGCAGATGGGCAAAGTAAGAAAAGTTCTACTTGACAGTTTTATTTGATTTAAGGATATATATGTTATATATTTTAACATGTGTTAACTTGTGTTTTAATGGCTATAATACTTTAATTTTTTGAAGCTCAGGGCAGGTCTATACTTAAAATGCTGCATTGGCTACAGCTGCACTGCTTTAGTGCTTAAGTAAAGATGCTCCTATGACAGAGGTGGGCAAACTCGGGACCGTCCAGCCCAGCCCCCGAGCTCCTGGCCCAGGAGGCTAGCCCCCAGCCCCTCCCCTGCTGTTCCCCCTCACCCGCAGCCTCAGCTTGCCTCGCCATCGGCGCAATGCTCTGGGTGGCGGGGCTGTGAGCTCCTGGGGCAGTGCAGCTGCAGAGCTACTGCTTGACCTGGTGCTGTGTGGTGGCGGTGGCGTGGCCCAGCTCCAGCTGGGCAGCGTGGCTGTAGCACCGCCAGCTACCAGTGCTCCAGTAGCGCGGTAAGGGGGCAGGGAGTGCGGTGGGGGGTTGGATACAGGGCAGGGGAGTTCGAGGGATGGTCAGGGGGTGTGGATTGGGGTTGTGGCAGTCAGGGGGGAACAGGGGGTTGAATGGGGGCAGGGGTCCCGAGGGGGGCAGTCAGGAAGGAGGGGGGGTTGGATGGGGCAGGGGTCCCTGGGGGGCGGTCAGGGAACAGGGGGGTTGGATGGGGCAGGAGTCCCAGGGAGGGGCAGATAGGAGGTGAGGGCCGGGCCACGACCCCCCTCCCCCAACCGGCCCTTCATACAATTTATGAAACCCGATGCGGCCCTCAGGCCAAAAAGTTTGCCAACCCCTGTCCTATGCCGATGGGAGAACGTCTCCTGTCGGCCTAGTTAATCTATCTCCATGCTAGCAATGTTGATGTGAGAGAAGCTCTCCTGCCAACATAGCGCTATCTACACATGGGGTTAGATTGGTATAGCTGTGTTGCTCAGGGGTATGGATTTTTCACACCCCTGAGTAACAGTTATACTGATATAAGTCTGTAGGGTTGACCTGGCCTCAGTGTCTACTATCATTAAATTGTCTGACATACCAATAATTTCCTGCAACTATGAATATATAAATTGATAAAATTGAAAAAATGCTTGAAATAAGTATTGATATTATCCATCAAAATTATAAATAAAAATCACATTCTGCCAAGCCTGTTTTATTTTGCAGTTACCTCTACAGGCTGATCAGATCCAGACCCCTTTGTTACAGGTACTATATGTACAGTAAATGACAGACTCTGCCTCCAAGAGGATGTAGGCAATTTTTAGCCAATCAGAAGCAGTAATTGCAGCTTCCCACCTGCCTAGCTCTTATCATATTGCAGTTTTCCATATGTATTACAGCAAAGGTGAGTTAGCTATCAATTAGTAACTATATGGTTATTTGGCCAACTTTTGAATAAATAACATATATAACTGGTGGTTGGAGAGTTGTTTGTATATAGATGCTATATTTTGGAAATGGGAACTTGGGATAAATGAGTGTAATGCTGTTGTGGGCTTGTGGTTGACTGTCAGTTAACTGAATGTTGGTTAATAACAGAGATGCACTGCATGTATGCATCTTCAAGTGTGCATTTTCCAGTAAAGAGACCTGAATAACTTAGGCCTGAAGTTGAGGGATGTAATGCATTCCATCTAGTAATTTGAAGTGTACTAGCCACCAGGATTTCCTGGGTTCTGTTGTTCTCTATATAGAACAAGTACATTTGGAAATACTAGGTGGAGTCAAACAACTGGATAGAAGTCAGACATCTACAGCTGAATTCTCAGAAAACGGGTCAATGGAGTTATGCTGAGGCCGGGATGTATGTATGGATGTTTTGGCCACACTACTACTTCTGGCTGTAGAGATGGGATGGTAGCATAGGAAGTGTGACAGTAGCTGTTAGCCAAGGTAGGAGATCCTTAGGTGGTAGGTTAATCAGATTTTATGGGAGCTTGTGCCAGTAGCACAAAGCTGCCCTCATGCACAGAAGTATCTGGGTCTGTAGTGTTTGGAATGAAAGTTGAGTACTTTGATACAGATTTGGAAGTGCTTTTCACTTTTTTGTTTGTAAATGAATTACTTATTTTAGAGGTGCAGGATGAGGATTTTTGTTTACTTTCACATATATAATTGAAGATACAAATTAGAACAAGGTGTCTGAATGCAGTAATGCAAATTATTATACATTTACATGCACAAAATATTTCACTTAAATTCAAAATCTGTTTTATATGTTAAACATGGCATTTGGCAGAATTTCTGAGGCTGGGATTTAGTGTATCTGAAGCTAGATCTAGATATACCAAATAAAAATAGAAATAATCATGTAGAAATAGCTATAGTTCATAATGTTGTATTTTAAGGAACTGCCCTCAAGTCACTTGCTTAAAACAATATATGGCAGACTCAATGCTCAGAATGTGATATTAAACTAATCATTCTTGCAAAATTTAATGTTAAAAATATCTGTAGTCAGTGAACATACTTGCTGTTGTAAGGAGAAGCTATCTGTTTCTCCTGTGTTTTTAGAAGGAATGTCACAGGGTGGTGATCATCCATGGTTGTCAAGAGTATCACTTCTTTTGGCTACTGCTGATACTTTCTAGCAATATCAACTTCTATGAATTGACAAGTAGAAACTCAAGCAGTTGATATGCCTGGATGTACATTGGACTCTGGTAGAAAGAGCACAGATCCCATGATATAACTGTCTTTTTCCTAACAAGATTTGAAAATTGTGTTCTGGCTTTTCTATCGCAGTCAGTATTTGTGGCTTGTCTTTTCCCAAAATGATAGCATAATTTAGGGAGGGTAGGTTGCAGATATGACAAGAACTACACCTCTACTCCGATATAATGCGACCTGGTATAACACGAATTCGGCTATAACGCGGTAAAGCAGTGCTCCGGGAGAGGTGGGGCTGCGCGCTCCGGCGGATCAAAGCAAGTTCGATATAACGCGGTTTCACCTATAATGCAGTAAGATTTTTTGGCTCCCGAGGGCAGCGTTATATTGGGGTAGAGGTGTGTTAGCTAGTTCCTAAACTAGACTAAGGGCTAAGTTCACAAAAGGACTTAAGCAGCTAACTGCCACTTCAGGTGCCTAAATCCCAGTATCAGGCCCTACAGGGATTCACAATACCCTGCTCAGCCGCCACCTCACCCATAGATGCCTACATTTTTACAGTAAAAGTTCCCTAGGCGCCTGTGTTTCTGCCTGCCTTCATGAGCACTGCCGCCCCATGCCAGGCTTCCAGACACCTAAGCCCCAGAGTGATGCAGGAACTGAGGAAAGATAGGTGTTCCTCTGTGTAACTTGCCTGTGGGGCCTGATCTTGTAAGTCTGCTCAGAACTTGGCTACTGGGTCAGTCCCCTGTAGGTGAGCTTGCACAAAATGTCTGGGGGTGAGAGGAAAAGAAGGAGGCCCTACATCATAACCACCAGGCTAAATGTTAGGGTACTCACCTGGGATATGGAGTATTCCCAGGTCAAGTCCACCTGATGGGAAGAAGGGATTTGAACAGGGATCTATCACTTCTCAGGGGAGGGCCCTAACCATTGAGCTATGGGATATTCTGAGAGGGAGCTCCCTCTCTCTCTCCTGTTGATGCTCTTGCCATAGGTGAGTACTGGTGAGTAGATTCTTGAGGTGGGGAGTGCGGCAGCTGAGCCCACTCTGCAATCACCCTTCAGCAGTGGCTCCTGCCCTGTGGGGCTGGGACTGGACCTGGCTGCCTGCTCCAGCCCATTGGCTCTTCCAGCTTGCAGATTGGGAAGAGCATGCCACAGCATCATTTGACACGTGTTTCTGCACATGGGTGGGGCCTCACCCCTCGTGACTAGGGTGACCAGGTGTCCGGTTTTCGACCGGAACACCCGGTCGAAAAGGGACCCTGGCGTTTCCGGCCAGATCTTGGAAGAGTGTTGCTGTTTTCATAATGTAATAAAATACTGTAATGATAAATATTAATAATAGTGTATAATAAGCATGTCATAAAAACAAATTTTATATCTCCAAGATCACTGCTTTTATAATTTATACTCAACTAAAGGAGAAAATCCCTGGAAATATTCATTTTTAGAAGGGGGTTTGCAAGACTTGACATTTTAGTGAAAGGGGTTCACAGGGTGTTAGTTTGGGAACCACTGGTGTAGATGCGTTCTACATCAATTTAAGGGATTTTCCCATTGATATAGGTAATCCACATCTCTAAGAAGCAGTAACTAGTTTGATGGAAGAATCCTTTTGTTGACCTAGGTGCATCTACACAGTGGGGGTTAGGTGGATCTTAACTACAATGTTCAAAGCACAAACCTTTTCACAGCCCTGAGCGACGTAGCTTGGTCGACCTAAGTTTTGGATGTAGACTAGGGCTTGGACAGAAATTTATGGGGTGACTGAACATCACATTTTGGGTGTAGTACTAACCCAGCTGCCTGCCCACCTGAGATTCAGGATCCAGTCTCTTCTCTCCTGCATCATCTATCTCAGGGGTCGGCAACCTTTCAGAAGTGGTGTGCCGAGTCTTCATTTATTCACTCTAATGTAAGGTTTCGCGTGCCAGTAATACATTTTAATGTTTTTAGAAAGTCTTTTTCTATAAGTCTATAATATACAACTATAGTTTAGTTATATGTAAAGTAAATAAGGTTTTTAAAATGTTTAAGAAGTTTCATTTAAAATTAAATTAAAATGCAGAGCCCCCCGGACCGGTGACCAGGACCCAGGCAGTGTGAGTGCTACTGAAAATCAGCTCGCGTGCTGCCTTCAGCGCACGTGCCATAGGTTGCCTACCCCTGATCTATCTTCTCCACTCACCACATGCCACAAGTATAGTAAAAGCATGTGGCAGTCTGTTTTTCAGCTGACCAAGAGGACTTAGATCTCTTGTAAGGTCTCAAGTTGTGGAGTTGCAGGCTCTCCTCCAGTTTGAAGTAATGGGAGAACAACACCCTATTTGACTGCTTTATTTTAGAACTACAGACATGTATCTGAATTAGAGAAACCACCTCAGATATCATCCTGCCCTCCTTGTTTGCAGTATTGGTGCTGAATCTTAAGAAATAGATCTTGGTCTATCCTTTCATTTCAGATAAATCCTCCACTGAGCAGATTAAGGCACACCAGCAGGACAAAGTGAAGAAGTTTGTACTGATTCTTTCTGTACTTTTTCCTTGGGGTAAAATTGAGCAGTTTACTCTTTTTAATGTTGCCATTTTGGCAGCTTCATGCCTACAAATATTTTTCTAATTAATGGAAGTTCGGTGTATTATAATGCAGGGTCATTGTTTCAGTGAGTAGTGTAGAATTTTGTCTTTTATAGTACCTTTTCTGCTTGAGATATAAAAATTTTATTAAAGTTAATGTTTAAAATTAAATGTACACGAGTTAAGAGGGAAGGTACTGTACATCTGGGGTCAGGCTTGGGATATGGGGGGTTACAGGTGTCGTTTGCAAGGATGAGAAGATACATACATATCGCATAACCTGCATGGACCCAGATTGGGGTGCAAGGGTTTACTAGTATAATATACAATCCTTCAGTGACTAGATGAAATGTGTGGCTTAGGTACTTAGCAATAACTCACCTGCTTGGACATTCACATCAGTTTTATTGAGGGGATCACTTTTTTCTTTTTTCCATTCCACTTGCCTTGACCTAGTCCCCTTTAAAAAAAAGTTTTAAATTATTTCTGAAATATTTATTATTTTTATCTGTTTTATTGAGGAGCACTTTTATTTTACTTACACTGGTATGTATTTTTTAAATCCCTGATGCAGGGGTAAACGTCTCAAAACTGGGAAAACATTGCTATTAAAAATAGAATAAGAACGCAGCTGGTCAGAGAGAAAAAACGCTCTTTAAAGATGGCTTTCAAATGAAGACTTTTACCTTTTGATGCTACAGTAGAGTATAGATGTCAGCAGAAGGAATTCATTTTTCAATTTCTTTAAGAATTTAAAATGTGGAAAGTTTGTGTAGTTACCATTTTCCAAAAGTTTGATCCCCCTGTTGATATGTTCAATAATCCAGGTTCTTATGCTGAACATTATTTTAGTGCCACTGTTGTTTGAATGTTTCAAATAGTCTCTGCATGAGTAGTCAAAATTTTTTAATCATATTAAAAATGGCTTTGATAGTTTGCCAAGCAAATCGGCAAGAATGTCTGCTTTTTATATAGTACATATATTTATGTAAAAATTGGCATGATTTGGAAATATCTGTTGCATATTAATACTTCTGTAGTTCAGCAGATTAAAAAAATTCATCCATGTGGTATGGTAGCATTAAAAATATGCTTGTCCTCAACAGTAGATCCTATGTGTGTATTGTATGGCTATTACTTATTTCCAGTAAATAAACTCTGAATTTTATTTTTTTCTTGTTATATAATTTTCTAGCTTTGCAGAACAGATATCGTGAGAAATAAGCAAGAAATTGCTTTTATATGTTTTATGCTGACATGATATGAAGGAAATATTAATTAATACGCGTATTCCAGCGGTCTTTTCTAAACTTTCTGGTTGAGAGTAAATTTTTTATCTTGTAGATTTTATATAAATCACATAAATGAAAGATTTTTCTCTAATCTTTTCTCTTGTAAATGAAATGTGTTAAGCATTTTACCCTATTTTAAAATTCAACCATTAGAACATAAGAATGGCCATACTGGGTCAGACCAAAGGTCCATCTAGCCCAGTATCCTGTTTTCCGACAGTGGCCAATGCCACATGCCCCAGAGGGAATGAACAGAACAGGTAATCATCAAGTGATCCATCCCCTGTCGCCCATTCCCAGCTTCTGGCAAACTTTTAAAATACCATTGACCATCTATTATCCTATATCAGTTTTAAGCTAGTCACTTAGAATAAAGCCTCTGCAGTAGGAAATAAGTGTGTAGTGGGACATAAACTTATACACATTTGAGTTCATATTATAGTTGAAAACTTAAAGACCCATGTCTGCCCTTGATCCATGACTGAATTTCCATTGCTGTCAATGGAAATTACATGTGGGGGGTCAAGAGAAGTGTATAATAGTCTTAATTGTGCTGTGTTAAGATTACAGGAGTGTGTTTACTCAAGTAGTCCATTGAAGTTAATGGGGCTACTTGTGAGTAAATGTTTTTGGGATTAGGCCTCTGGTGACTGGTTATGTTAAACTGTACAATCTGTAGTTTAGTTTCTCCTTTCTTTTCTCTTCCTTTGAGAACTGAGGCACTACATTTATCAAGAGATGAATTTTTAATCACCCGTTTGGCACTTGCATTTTATGATTTTAAGTTAATCTTTAATAAGATATTTGTTTTGATAGGGGTTATTCCATTAATCAGTGGGGTATATTCTATCCTGTGTTGAGATCTGTTTGGTGCAAGATGATGGGGGGGGGGTGTTTGAGGGAGTCTGTTATGGCTCCCTTATTCTGTATGTTTGTTTATGCTAGTCCCAGCATAAGTTAGATTGTCTACACTCACTTCTGTCAATATAATTTGTCACTCAGGGAGGGTGTGAAAAAGCCACTCCCTGAGCGACATAAGTTACACTGACCTGAGCGCTGGTGTGGACAGCACTATGTCAGCAGGAGAGCTTCTCCCACTGACATAGCTACCACTGCTCGCGGAGGCTAGAGTAATTAAGCCTATGGGAGAGCTCTGTCCCCTCAATTTAGAACAGCTACGTTGGAGAGTTTTACAGTGGCATAGCTGCGTTAGTCCAGTTACAGTGCTGCAAGCTCTCTAGTGTAGCCATAGCCTGAGGGTTGAGTATTGATGGAGCGGAGCACTATCCCTCCATTAATGTCATCTGCAATATGAACATGGTGGGAGGGATCATTTCTTTTGACCCGGGAGATAGATGCTGCTGCTTTGCACTGCAGGATTGGAAATGAGTCTTGGACTAACACAGGGGAAGAATAGTCCACAAACTAGTTTGGGAAAAACTTGGTGATGGCAGGGAAGAGTTAACTGGTCACATGGTACGAATTGCTGCTTTTTTCCCCAACTACTAAAGAATGGTCAGATAAAGAAAAGCTGTCTCTGAAAATAATTGTAGGTAAATATTCAGCACAAAGTGAGAGGGCTCAAGGATGATTCATAAAATCTAAAGTAAATCCAGGTTTTTTTAGTTACCGACAAACTAAATGAGTACATGGCTTGAATGAGAAGGTGTAACTCCTAGTCATAGATAGGACTTTTTTAGGAAAGTGTTGGGAAACACCAAAATATATTATGTAGGAGCAAGTATTATGCCTGCGGGTGTGTGTGTGAGGCTTTTTTTTAGTATAGACACTTTTAAAAAGTTTGACTAAATTGAAGCTGTGTGTGCAGGAAATTTTGGGGGCAAGAAATGTTCAGGGTTAGAAAATTACTCTCGCTGGGTAATAGTTTTCCCAAAAACCCTTCACAGGAATTCCGAAATATTTTGCTGCATCTTTTGCGCTAAAGGGTTGATGCCTTTTTAAAAATAAAGTATTTGCTAAATCAGTATAAATGGTTGTTTATAAGCATTTTGTTGGAAACCTATTTGACTGCATTGATGTTTTGTTCTTCAAAGGTGCATTTGAACTTCTTACTGTTTCTCCACCGATTAGCAGAAGAAGCCAGGGCAAATGCTTTCGAGAACAAGAGTAAAACAATTAAATCTGAACATGCCATGGCGGCAGCAAAGGTAATAAAATTAAAGTTGAAATTTCTCTCTCCCTTCTTTGCTTAAACACTTAATATTAAAAGTTTACTGATAAGGTTGCATAGTTACTATACAAAAGCCAGGATATACAACAGAAAAGATTCCTAGAGCAATGCTATCTTTGCTATGTTTTTTTTTATTTATAAACAAAACATTAAAAAAAACACCTCAAAATATCTTAATCCTCCAGGCACCTTAACAATAATAAAAAAATCACAATGTTGTAAAATCCACTACAATAACATCAGATAAACTGACTGCACATCAACATACTCCCTATCTCTTCCCATAATCCCAAATTTAAAAACTTTCCAAAACGAAGACCATTATTTCCCTGTCCTTCGGTCTCTTGGGTGTGAGGAGCGATGAAAATCTGGACTCTTCCAGACCAAGGACGAGATCAAGCTCCATAGTGGAGGGGTGTTTGTGGAAAATGCTGTTATATCAAGGGAGCTGTAGGTTGAGTGGCTCTGCTGATCTTAACTGCAACAATACACGTGGGTCTGTTGCCAGTGGGGAGGTGAGGAATATCATCTTGAGCCCAGGCTAAGCAGGTGGTCTCAGAGAGCTTCAGAAGTAGATTGCATGAAACAACAAAAAGCAGTTTAAGACAAACATCACCAGAGGGCATCTGATGTTCTTTCCAGTCCTAGACCCCCAATTGTTTCTCTCTCTCCCTGGACCCTGCCCTGTTTCATTTAGGCAAGGGAAGCACTGAGTGGAGTGTGGGAGAGGAACACTTAAGGGTAAGGCCTCATCCAAAACTCAATCTCTTTCAGGTGCTGAGTCATCTTTGCCATCTACCTTAGTAGGACTGGACAAAATGAAAAAATGATGCCACTCAGCTTTAACATATTGGATGCCCAGCACCCCATGCTGCTTAAACTTTCTAGTCCTATTTTTCTTGTAAAATATTTGCTGGATATATTTCTGCTAATATATTTAATACAAATATAGGAGATGTGCAGTGTGGCCATGTTAAATATTGCAGTTAGAATCTTGTGCATTTCTAACCTTTTAACTGTGTAATCTTAACATTATTTAAATATCTTTGCTCTTCTATTTTTTTAAGTGAAAAGATGGAGAAAGAAGAAATTGCCTTGTTTTAATAATGTTAACACTTAAATGGTCCCAGTTGGGCTGAGAAGTGAACTTCTCAATTTAAACTCTAAACCAAAAAATGCCCATCCAAAAGTTTTGGTGCCCTTTGCATAAATTAAAAAAAAAAAACCCTCAATATGAAGCATTACAAACAAAAATCAAGCCATAACAGCAGTAAAATCACATTTTATAACCTCTTATGCTATCTAGATATAATAGGGTCAGAGCATTAAGGGATGTGGTGAGAGCTTTGAAGAATGATTGACACTTCTGGGTTGTCTCTAGAAAACGTTTGTTTTAGAAGGTTTTGCTTCTGAAGTTGCATTTTGTCTATGTTCTGTGATACGAATTTCAATATGACTGATTTTGTTTGAATCACAGTGGGCATATAAGTAATGATGAGTATACTTTCCTTCACTTTCACAGGTTATCTTAAAGAAGAGCAGAGGCTAGGAAATCAAGAAGTACTTTCTAATCCTGCTTGCTTTACCCAGTGTATTTTTATTAACTCTTAAGTATCATGGCTAAGATCCTCAGTTGGTATAAATAAGCATAATTTCATTGAATTCAGTAGAGCTACACTGCTTTACCTTTGAGGAATTGGACTTATGTTCTTAAGAAACATTCATGTTTATAGGTGATATGCATTCCTTTATACATGTGTCTCTTACCAAAGCATGAGGCAAACACTTGTGGTGAAAGTAATTTTTTTTATAATGTAAGTTTTCGGCTGCATCTTCAACTAAAATACTGGGAAAAGCCTATAGCATTTCCCTTCCATGTGTTTACTGGAGTCATATTCCTAATTAGAAAGTGTTTCCTCTTATATTAATCATTCTAAAAGAGACTTATTAATGAGGAGTTTACTCTGAATGTCAGTTTAGTTCTTCTTGTTACACAGACGAAATGTTGGCTTCTTAAAGAAGACTGACAGTCTGACAATGTTGCATCAAATATCTTGGTTTCAGATTGTTTATAAATGTCACGTTTCACAGCCTTAATTCTTGAAATAATTTTTAAGAACAGCACAAGTTACTTGAATAAACCTTCCATATTTTTTTGGACTGGTAATGGGATACAGAACCTTTATTTTTAGATGGTGCCCTAACTTCTCCCAAAATTGCTCCATTGACTATCCCGTGGTTTGTCAAATGTGCTGATGGTCTTAATTCAGGTCCTTGTGGACAGGTGTACTTCATAAAAACAACCACTACAACTGACATCAATTGCTGTGCTTGAAATTAGACCTAGAAGTGGCATCAAGGATCAGCTAGGCATGGATACTATGCTGCTCTCTGCACCCTTCTTTTCTCTGGGTTGAATCTCAGTGGTGTGTGGATATATTGTATGTATTTTACATATATAGTGCTTCAATTTCAAGTGCCTGGAATCCTTATGAAACTAAACTTTTTAAAATGTAGACTTGTTTCTTATTCTTTCGTGCAATAACACTTTGTTCTTTTGTGTTACTTTGTGATTTATGTAACATTAGTTAACAGTGCTTCATGTGTGCATATCAGTTAATTATTTTTCATGGAACAGAAAAAAAATAAAGGCTTTTTGTACAACATGGTTGTGTTGAATTGTCTTATACTGTTAATATGTTAACAGGACTTAAAGTATGCAAAGATAAATCAAACAGGAATTATACCAAATGAAAATATTCAGATCTATTTAAGCAAATTGTAGTACAATTTAAATCCAAATGCATATACTGTACAAATAGCATTCTCTTACTATATTTTAAATCCTGCATTCTAATACAATTTGGTGTATTCTTATGGCAAAATATCTAAACTGCTCTTCAGGAGTGTTTAAAAGTTTTATCCATAACAGTATACAGAGAGGGGAGATGAATTCTGTAGGGTTCAGTTATTTCCTTTTGTGTTCTTGCTCTTCAGTACCATTAGCTTGTGGATGGGGAGAAAGATGGGAGAGATGCTCTATGGCTCTCCCTCTACCATTCAACTTCCTGTGCCACTGGGGCAGGCGAAGAGAGACTCTTCTCTGCTCTGGTACCACCAGCTGAGGATGGAGACGGGAAGAGGAAAGATGCTGAAGGGCTCCCTCTTGCCCTACCCACTTTCAGTGCCACTAGTTGGTGGGTGGGAAGAGAAGGTGCTCCAGTGCTTGGACTCATCCGTCTCTCCTTTTCCTCTCATTTATATTCACACCCACAATGAAAGTGAGGGGGAGGATGTGTAGGAGAGGGAAAGCTGAGGAGACAGTAAGTCATGAAGGAAGCAGAGGGAATGAATGGAGGGATATTGATCCAGTATGCCTTAGTAAGACCTTATTAGAAAAGGTCTAAGTCAAAACTAAGTTTTCTAGTATTTTGTCAGTCGCCATGTATCTTTTGCCTACCATCAGGACAGCCTTCCCTGGGTGCAGTTCGGAAGATGGGAGAGTGCTCGGTCGATTTATCGCATCTAGTCTAGATGCGATAAATCAACCTCTGCTGGATCGATCACTGCCTGCCGATCCGGCGAGTACTGTAGACGTACCCTGAGAAGAGGTGTGTGGTTGTGCAAGAATCCTGTTAGAGAATATCTTCATGGAAGAAAAGTTAGGTAAATATTTCCCCTTCTTTAAAGGTAACTCTGCATGGGATTTTTCAATCATGGCAAGTAAGTATCTTGAGAAATATACGAAAATATAGGAATACTCAGCAAGCAACAAGACTTTTTCCCTGCAAGAATTTCCCTGGGGCTTGCAGCACAAAGTCTCAGGCATCAGATTTTAAGGATCCTGTAAACAACCATTGATCTGGTGTGTATGTACTCAGTCCTCTTCCCAGTTGCAAGGAGTAAGAAAGGGCATAGGTGACCAATCTAGTTCTTCAGAGCACAGGCAATTATTACCAAGCTGTAAAAGGGAACTGAACTGAGCCTAGGGGCTGAGGCAGAGCACCCTGCCTGTCATCAATTAACAGCCATTTTGCTTGGGGAGTGCTGTACTGGATTATTATGAAATTATTAAATTTAAACTAATTATAAGACATTGCAGGTACTTAGGAAAATTTTGATATGATATTGTATGTGCAAAGTTAACTTTAGCATTTCTTAACTGATTAAATCATCCAGTAATATTCTCTAACACTTTTTAAATAGTATTTCAGGTAGTTCTAAACACTACTAAGTGTATGAATAGTATATTAATGATCTCATACTTTACTAACTGATTACCTTCCCATTCTAGTCCAAACTTGTATCTGTTCACATTTAAGCCTTAGGCGGTGATCCAAAAAACACACACGTGCTTAACTTGACACACTTTGTCCCACTGAACTCAATAACACTGCTCCTGCATAAAGTTACTTACATGCATGACTATTTGCAAGAGTGAAATTTTAAATTTCAAATTCTATGATGCATATTATGTCTCGTTATGATGACCCCTATTCCCCAGTGAGTGTGTATGGGATTACTAATATATGGCAATACATTTCAGAAGTGCACAGACAGTGAAACTCATTTTTCAGCGTGGATGGAAGTTCCTTTTCTAATCATAAGGTGGGGATAGAGTGAAAATAGTATACTGTCTTTATTTGCCTTAAGCAGCCTCTCATTATAAGAAAATAATCTGTTTAATCTTACTAGAATCATGTATGCTGTGACACTTCCAGAGTTTTGAAGCTTACCAAGTCTGGATTGCTGACAGATGTAGGGCAATTAAACTGACTTAAAAAAATTCCTTGTTCACATCAAAAAATGGGAGAACTTTGCTGATAGGACAGAGGAGGAAAAAGCTAAATGTGCTAAGCTTTGACAGAATCTTGAAGATGTTGCCTTTTTCAAGATACTGGGGTAGATCACGTGGTATTCTGAATTATTCAGCAGTTGGTTGGCTATTTGGACATCATAATCACCTTTAGAAATATTCAGTTGTGTAGCATAAACATGGATGTGTTTGTGCATGTTTCCCATATGACAATTAACTGTGCAACTAGTAACTGAAGCAAATATTGAAACAAACACAATCTCTTGTCAGCATAAGGCTTCATTTCTCTTTAATATTGTGCTCACAATTTTATTTCAGTAAGATATATAAATAAGAGTTAAGTTTCCCCCACATTTAAAGCTTCATAACTAAGTTCTTTGGGTTTGTGTGACGTGAATGTGGACAAAAAGGGGAGGGATAGCTCACTGGTTTGAGCATTGGCCTGCTAAACCCAGGGCTGTGAGTTCAATTTTTGAGGGGGCCATTTAGGGATCTGGGGCAAAAATCTGTCTGGGGATTGGTCCTGCTTTGAGTAGGGGGTTGGACTAGATGACCTCCTGAGATCCCGTCTAACCCTGATATTCTATGTATGACTCTATGAAAAGTTTGTATTGAGGGTTTGTTTGTAATTGGTATTTAACATTGAAATGCTGATAGTGGTAAAACATAACAAAGCTCAATATTCCAGAAGCTTAATTGGTATGTCAGACTTTTAAGTTATTCAGAATGTTTAAACAAGATATATAACAATTTTCTAGTAATATAATTGGAATGTGGGCTGCTCTTCTTTAATGTATGGTGGAGCTGTTGGCCTAAATGCTAATGAGAAGAAACTAGGTTGCAACAAATTTCTTACTAGTGTGTCTGAGCAGTTGTCTCAAGCTTCACTATTCAGAAGAAGCTGACCAGAAAAACATTTACTGCTTAAATTGGCATTTGCACTTTGCTGAATAAAAACTTTTATTATTTGTATTATCATAGTGCCTAGTAGCCCTAATCATGGGGATGCATGTGGTAGGTGCTGTACAAAGACAGTCCCTGCCCCAAGAATTTTGACAAATTTTGGTTTTGCTTCAACCCGAAACAATTGTTCTTCAACTTTTCAAAATTGCCATGGAACTGGAAATTCTTTTGTTCACCCAGCTCTAATGCTAAGGGCTCACACAGAGTTTCACAAAGTCAGTGTTCTGCTGTGCATATTTCTAAACTCCAAAGACAAGCCTTATAAGTACAAGTCCTTGTCCAAAATATATTATTTGTGCAATTGTACCTTGTAGACTTCTTAAATCTTGTAGGATTACTAAAATATACTTAAAAATGAATTGAGGAAAAGTTCTTAATCTAAAAGACCACATAAATTACAGGAATGGTGTTAAGGAAGGGTGAAAGAGATGGGTGCCAGTGCTTAGTTATGGTTGTCTGGCTGGCCTTAACTGTGTATTTCTGTACTTACCAATGTTTGTTCTTGGTGATTTGTTTTTCAAGTGGAAACTTAATTGTGGGTTTCCAAGGTTCAGAGTTTGTTTGTTTTTTTTGTTTGCTGTTAAAACCAAACCAAACCAATGTTCTTCCGAAGTTCTTTACTGCTATGTGTGCTCAACCTTAACTTTAACTTAACTAAGGGGAGAGGAAGTGGGTGGGGTGTTTGGTCCTGGATTCCTTCCTAAAATGTTGTCAGAGTTCCACACTGAACAGTCATCTAGACAATATTTTTCCTATGACCATGTGCTCATTCTGGGTCTTTCTCCACAAATTCAATGTCAAAATGCCACTTTAGTCCACTTTAGATAGAAACTTAGTGCTTAGAAAGACCAATCATGAGGAAATTTCTGGAAACTTTGAACTAATTTTATTAGTGTCTGGAAAATACAGAGCAGTATATAGCCATTTTATTTCAAAATTTTTGATCCGATACTTAGTACTGCTTAATGTTTTCTTCTTCCTGATATGATTGTACAACTGAAAAATGTAATGCACTTTTATTGTATGTCA